CATGACTAGTTTTGCCATAAGAAATGTCATTTTCATTATATGTATTGAGGAATGAGTGTAGGAAATGTTGCCTGATGATTCATTTAGAAAATGTTCATGATGTTTCATTTCCATTACTTTGATTAAATGGTTTTGCTTTGACCTGTAAATGTGTTATCTTTATGATTTTAAAGATATTTTGCATGAAGTGTATGCAAATGTTGCAATGTGTTAGTGGTGGAATTTGATGTTAGCATAAAGTTATGGGATTATTAATTCATATGATGGAATTGTGATATTAGTATGTATGATGGGTGGTAAATTTAATGTAGTATGTTAATTTGAATTAAATTATCTTATAATGACTCATTGCATGGCATAAATTATTTATATTTTGAAATGTAAGGTAAATTTGGTGTGTTTGAATGGTTTCAAAAATGATGTGCAAAGATGACATGATTGTCTTTGAGAAGCATATGTGTCATAAAAGGTTATTACTTTAGCTAAAAGTAACGTGTCATAGAATGAGTTACTCTGGGTTGTGATAAAACTTCATTTCTATGTCAGCATGACTTTTGTGAAAAAGTTTGAAATGATGCTAACAATTAAATAATATATTTGGATGAAATATGGACATAAGTGTTGTGTAAATGATTCCTATAAAAAGTGTAATTGTTGCATGCCCCCAAAGTTATGATTATATTACCACATGGATATTATATATATATATATATATATATCTATATTAGATTATTTATATTTATATATATATATTAGAGAGAATATATATATTTTTAAATAATTGTTTTAAATTCATGCCTTTAAATAATTGTTTTTATATTTGGTATGAATGTTTAATATTATTATGTGATGAATGATATTAGATTAGAGGGTTGATCATGGGGCCATTTGGTTTCAAATATTCAAAATGTTTTGTGATATCTTTTATTAAATGCTTGTATAATAAAATTTTATTATTATTTTAATCGGGGCCTACGTGCCTAAGACCCAATATGTATGGAATCGGCTAGACGGGAACCGAAGGCATCCGGATGACGATCCCAATCGAAGATATAGTATTAGGTGTAATAGTTTGCCTTTAGGATGGTCTTTTCGAAAAAAGTCTTCTGGTCAACCCACTTGCTTTAATTTATGCATATATGATGATATGTATGAATGGTTAATTAAACCTGGCATACTAAACTGAATTAACTAAAGGTTAACACCTAAATCTCCCAATTTAAAATATTTAAACTCAAGTTCCCCATTTGTGGGATTAAACTAAATTCTTTTGTACAAATTTTAAATATCCCAAAGTCTATTATGTGAGGGATACAATCTTTTTATCAAGATTAAATTGATCTTGTTCTTGGATTGTATTTTTTCACCTTGACCAAGAATTCTATTATGTGGGACATGATGACAATGACATCCTAAAGTAAAGCACAATGGTATGGATTTAATTTAGCCTAGGGTGTACCAAGAATTCTATTATGTGAGGTATCCGAAGCTAGACAAGGGGAATATGAATCAAACCTATAGTGATATAAAAGGAAAAAGAGTTTCCTACTTATTAGACTTAATTGACCAAAGAATTCTATTATGTGAGGTTAATTGAATTGATAAGACAATTGATTCCCCACTAAGAAATTTAAATCCAACGAAAATTTTCGGTATCCTATTTTAAGGGATTGTAGGACGCGAATAAAATAGTGGGAGCTAATTGATTATGCATTAAAAGGTTAAAAGATTACAAGACACTTAATAAAATTACTTTTCTTTGCAGTTCCCTTTGTGATAAATAAAGAAAAATGGCCCAACAATGTTTTCCTAGGTAATGGACAATAAAATGTTAACCGGAAAAACCTAAAAGACTTGGCTAAGAAATCTGTAAATTGTTCTAGATTTTGAAAGAATTGCTATGTCTTAGAAGCACCTCTTCCACTTGAATTGGACGAATGCTCCACAAGTTGAGCTTGATTGCTCTTGAACAAGTGGATGAGAGGATAGTAGGAGGGATAAAAATTACATGTTAGCCTTATGAATAGAGAACTAAAAAAACTAAGCATGAAGAGGTTTCAAATGCTTTGATATCCTCATTAGCTCTACAAGGTTGTATAGCGAAAATCAAAGAGTTGGTGAGTATGAATTGGCATCCCTCTTTAGCATGAAGTTGAGGGAAGAGGAACTCCAGTATGCTCATAATCTTAAATGATCAATGGATTAGATCGACTGAAGGGTATGGGTGTGGTCATGCCAGACCGTTCAAAGTGAATTTGATTTACAATCCATTCCTCCAATTTTCAAACCTTTAACTAAATACAATCTCAATAGAATTGAGAGAAACCTCTCTGATTGCTAAATGAGCTTAAAGAATTTTCACAGGGAGAGAGTGTGAAGGGAAAGGACATGAGGATGTCTTTGGCCTCCACTAGCAGGGCCAATAAAAAGCCAAAGTGTACCAAAAGAGAGGGTCCAAAGTGGACCAAAGAATAAGAGCTTCACAGAAAGCCAGCGGCAAAGCAGAGAAGGCCGTTGCAAAGGGAAAATGTTTCACATATGGAAAAGATGGGACACTGGAAGAGGAACTGTCCTCAATTCCTGCAACAATCTGAAGAAAGGCAAAGGAAAAGCAGGTTACGAACCAATGTCTTTGATGAACTATGAATTAATGATTATTCAGAGTCATTATGTTGATATAATTGTTCACGCAGAAAACATCTCATGTTTTGAGTCTTGCAGGGACTTCAGAATAGTTCTGAGGTGAACAAAGGGCGAGATCATTTTTGAGGATGGCAAATGGGGCAGATTGCCCAACAGAGGCCATGAGGACTTGCTCACTAAGACTACCTCAGACATGTTTTGAATTTGTTAAAGTATTGTTACTTTGAAAAAGGCAACAAGAAAACATCATTTCTATTCTGGTTGTAGTAAGGCGGTTATTATGTACTGTTTAATGGAAATATGTTTCAATACATTTTGGAAAGTTGTAGTTGGTAAAGCTATGAATAACAAATGGTTTGTATGTCTTAGAATTGAATGATTGCTTCAATCAATACCATTTATAATAAAAGAACTCGCTATGAATCAAATCCTAAAATTCTATGGCATCTAGATTGGGTCATATAGGGAGAGAGAGAGATTTATACAGCTTGGAGAAAGTTGAGATCCTAAACTCATTGGGTTTGAACCTATCCAAACCTGTAATCATGTCTCCAAGGAAGATGACCAGTTCTCCCTTTAAGAGTAAAGGAGAGCCGAGTAAAGAACTTTAGAAACTCATACCATACGATGTGTGTGGACCAGGTACTTTAGCTAGGGGAGGATTTGAATATTTTCATTACCTTTACAGATGATATGTCACGATATGGGTTATTGGATTAGAAATACAAATCTGAAATCCTTTGAAAAATTCAGATGATCAAGAATGAAGTAGAAAAATTAAAACTGGAAAGAGTATTAAATACTACGAATCAGATCGTGGGGTGAATACTTGGTACAGAGTTTCAAGAGTTTTAAAAGAAAAGTGGCATTACTCACAGTTGACCTTTAACAACCCAGCTTAATGAAGTGTTGAAATGAAAAATCGTAAACTATTGATTGGGTACGATCGATGGTGAGTTTTACAGACTTACCAACTGTCTCTGTGGGGTACGCTCTCCAGATAGCTGGTGCACATCCTTAATAGGGGCCCGTCTAAAAACTGTCGAAAACACCATAGGAGATATGGTATGGGAAAAGTCCAGTCGATTATATGAAGATTTAGGGTGCCCAGTTATGTTAAAGTGGTTAAATCTGATAAGTTGGATGTTAAATCCGAGAAGGGTCGGTTCATTGGATATCCTAAAGATAGTTTAGGATATTGCTTTTACTTCCCAAGTGGATCAAGAGTTTAGATCAGTAGAAATGCGCGCTTCTCGAGAATGAGTTGGAGGAAGGCGGCGTTGAAGAAAATATTGACTCAAGGAAGAGTTCGAAGAGCCAAGAACCGAGATTGCGAAGATGGAATGTCCAATCAGCGAACCTCAGTATCAGATACTATGTTCCAGTACGAAGTCTTCTAGAATGTCGAAACCTCCAGAGAGATATGGGTTCTACGAGCAAGATTTTGAATTTACCTTAGTGGGAGTAGATGATCATGGTGATGATCCGAGAAGCTACGAAAGAAGCAATACTGATAGAGATTCAAGAAAAATGGCTGGAAGTGAGATGGATTCTGAGATAGAATCCATGCATGCAATATCAAGTAGGTCGCTTGTGGATCCCACCAGAGGGAATAGTTCTATAGTTGTAAATGAGTCTCAAGAGAAAAGTTGGCAAGGATGGGGAGGTAGAGACCGTCAAAGCCGACTGGTGGCGAAAGGTTATACTCAGAAACAAGGATTGGATTATGAGGAAACCTTATTGCCTATAGTCATGATAAAATCCACATCGTATTAATGCTGGCCATCGCAGCATACCAATGATTTAGAAATTTGGCAGATGGATGTCAAAACAGCTTTTCTCAATGGGTTTATTGAGGAAAACATCTATATGGAACAACCGATAGGTTTGTATCCTCGCTGAAAGACATAGGTATGCAAATTGCATCGATCCATTTATGGATGAAGCAAGCTTCAAGAAGCTGGAACATCGATTTGACGACATAATCAAATCATTTGGTTTTTTGTCAAGAATCCGGATAAGCCCGTGTATACAAAGGGTTAAAGATCATGCCATCACGTTTCATATTATATGTAGATGGACATACTTTGATGGGAAAATGATATAGGCATGATGACAGAGGTTAAAGTTTGGTTGTCCAAAACCTTCTCGATGAAAAGACTTAGGAGAAGCGACATATGTCCTTGGCATTCGTGTCTATAGAGTAGAACGAAAAAGGGTAATGGATTATCCAAAAATTGTACATAGAGAAAATGCTAAAAGATTGATGTAAGGAACCTAAGAGAGGGTCTTGCCCTTCACTCACGGTCTTCATCTTCTAGGAGATGGGTCCAAAGGACCGATGAAGAGCGGCACGGATGTGTAATGTGCCTTATGCGTCTGCCGTAGTGAGCTTAATGTACACAATGCTATGTATAAGACCTGATATAGCTTATGCTGTAAGTGTTACAACTAGTAATTCAGTCAAACCCAGGGGGAAGAAACTTGATCGGTATGTAAAATCGTCCTTAGACTTGGAAGAACTAGGATCTAGTTTTGAGTTTGGATGTTTCCGAGTTAAACAATTCAAGGTACTCAGATTCTGATTTCCAAATCAGATAGTGATGATAGAAAGTCTACGTCGGGTACATTTTTATATGTAATGGAGGTGCTGTTAGTTGGAAAATTTCAAACAGACAACCACAGCTGACTCCACTACAGAAGCTGAATACATTGCTGCTTCGGAAGCAGCGAAGGAGGCTATTGGATGCGGAAAGTTCGAATTGAACTTGGTGTGGTTCGAACATGGCTTACCCGATAAGCATGTTCTGTGACAATACGGAGCTATTGCATAGGCAAAGGAACCAAGGGCACACCAAAAATCCAAACAATCAGCGGTAAGTATAACATTTTGAGAGAATTCGTTGGAGCTGGAGAGATTTTGATTCTGAGCGACCTTCAGCAGAAATGTAGTGATCCACTGACTACAGGCATTGACATTGAAGCAATTGGGACCATCATCTTGAGAAGACGGGTATGAGATACAACATCGAATGGCTTTAGTGCAAGTGGAGTTTGTTAGTGTGATATTAGTGTATGCCCTAGAAACCATTCGTGTTGTCGGTTTTCAGAGCATTTGTCTTGTAGTATATATATATATATAATATATTCATAAAATAAGAAGAAAGAGTTCTTCAATTCATATATGTAAATTGCTTCTTATTCAGTCATGCATTTAAAATAAAGTATGTATATGAATTGTCCAGATGATTCATTTAATCGGTAAAATGAATTATCGAAAAGGGTTCCTACGGAAGCAATATAATTTAGGCAACTATATTGCACAAGTAGGCATACCGGATGCTTCCAAAAGATATCATGAGTTAATATAAGTACAGATGATGATGATAGTCATGTCACTAGGGCATTGGTATGGATTAACGGTTGGTGAACTGTTTTTCGAACGGATCGAAAAAATAACGAGACAAATCACTGGAAAAGCATGTAGTCAATGATTTAGTTTGTTTGGTATATCAGTGCACGATGTAGTCCTTTGACCTGAGACATTGTAGTCGAATCTGATATGGATGCGTTAGGGTTCATACGGTGTATAAGTAGAGGACTAATCATGGTCGTATAATAAAGTCTATTGGTTATGCGTTGTTCATATGCGGGAACACGAACGGTGGTCAAGAGGGACCATGACTCGAAAATATAGGATCGGGAGTACCGCGACTCCATCCGGATTCGAGTTCCTAAACGAACATCGATAAAATTGTCGAAAAACGAATCTCTGGCCAGAGTCTATTATTAGTCATACAAAAAGTAAGTTTGTGATGACAAGTTCTGGACATATTGATCGACGATTCGGTAGAAGATCGAGTTTAGTTTTTGGACGTTCCATGGAATCCATACTCGATTAGGATATCTCCAATGGAGGACTTTACCTGCATGGTACGTATGATCTGAAATGGGTTCGATGAAGTATTTTTTCATCGTGGTTTGGGACTATGGCACATGCTAGTATTTCACATAGTCGTTGGGCCTCCAGACAGGTTTTCGAATTCATCCAGAACTGGCTCACGGCTAATCCACGGTGGACCTACATGTCACACCAATAGCCTTGAGAAGTTAGAGAAAGGATGAGAGAGGGAAATAATTATCCGAAGAGGGCTAGCACCTTCCGAGGGTAATAACGGGATTTCTATAGTTATAGTTACATAGAATCATTTGTGACATTTTAAGGGTAATGGTCAAACAATAATTAATTAATTTAATTATTATATCTTAAAGTGTGTTAAAATTAATGAGAAAAAACAAATAACCTTTTAATAGTTAAAGGGTAAAAAGGGGGGGTCTTTTTGGTGTTTTATGTAAACTAGTTTAGTTACATGGGCCCTCGAATAATATTGATTATTCAAAGGGTGAGATATTAAATTGTGGGGTCCCTTATAAAAATAAGATTTTACTGGGCTTGGAAGTGAAATAAATAATTACAATATTGCCAAATATATATAAGTGCAAAAGGTTGCATTTTTTGTTATTCTAACTTTCACAAAAACACAAACCACAAACCCTCTCAAACCAAGGCCACTCTCTATCTTTAAGGTGGTGTTAGTGTGGAGGTTTCATCCTTTTGAAGCTAATCTCATCAACCAAAGCAAAGGAGTAGGTATAATCTCTTTTCCAAGCTTTGTTTTTAAACGTTTTCTTGAATCCATTTTTTATGCTTTTCTCTATTCCCCCACTCTCATGCATGCATGCTGTTCTTTCACTTTAGGCCCGGGTGCAATGGTTTCAAGATATTAACAAATATAGAAAAAATAATAGAGGTTTCTATAACGGTGAGCCCATATTTTATTCATGAATGATATTGGTAATTTTTATTTGTACTCATTATCTTAAGTTTTAATTATGGAAAGATTTAACAAACATCAACTTAATTAAATAGATATACGCGTAGTGTATTCAACTTATTAAATTCAAAACATTAATTCAGCTACCAGATAAAAAACCTAATGAATTACTCAATGTGATGCAACAATAATTCATTCGTAAATAAAGAAGTAGATGAACTTGAAATACGACACACAAAATTCCTACTTAAAATTATTTCTTGATCCTTCGTCATTCTTGGTTCATTGGGTGCTCCATTGTTGTTGCTGATTTTCTCTCCATTCCTCACTTATTCTTATTCCAACCTTTAATTAAGGCACATATAATAAAACTTAGGGCCTATTTAGATATAATAATGTGATAATGAATAATACTATATTATAAACTGAGTCATACAACTAGATAAAATAATCATTTTTATGAATTTTATGCCATTTTTGAATTAGTTGTATGGCTCAATTATAAGCAAAATATTATTGATTGGATTATAATTGCTATATGGATTCCAATTAAACATCTAACCGCTGATTATAGATAGGATGAGACATGTTACGAATAGGAAAAGTTACCAAGAGGATGTAAGCCTTGGATTGAAGCTCCCTGTATTCTGACCGAGAGCACAACAATAAACAGCATAAATGAGTGACCCAGTCCAGTGCAGGACCCTCAGCAGGTTGAACTCTCTCCTCAGTTTAGTTCGGTAGTCTGCTGTCTGTTCACATAACCCATACTTCCCTCTACAGCATAAGCCTATCCCAAGCACATCCCCATGTAAAGCGTTGTAATAGTACAACATGCTCTAGTTTGAAGAGCAGAAAAACGATTGTGTTCATTAATTGGCATTAAAATCTATAAAACTAATTTGTATTCATAAAGAAACACTAAAACAAATGAATAAAAATAATACACAAAAGAAATATTTCAATACTTACCGATGTTGCCTATCACCATTTCTGCAACCTGGCCGAATGTCAAGCATGGCAATACAGCAGTACTGAAATGTAAGAAATTAAAAATTATTTTGTATTTATTCATCATTCGTTATTAAGATTTAAAAGTTATTAATTCGTTGGTTATAAATTTATAAATTTAAATACAAAACTTCAACTTTTACGCAAGTGGCATCAATATTCGATGCTTAGATCCATGGCGGCGATAAGACATTACGCAGTTCAAAATGAAACCACTGAGGTTTGAGAGAGAGAGAGAGAGAGAGAGAGAGAGGATCACCATGCATGGATTATTGCAGCAAGCACATAACCACTTAAGCTTCAGAGGCTGACCTGTGGATTAGAAATGGAGGCTGCGGTAACTCTGTCTCTGGTGACTTTGATTTTATCTTCTTTTCTGTTTGAGCGTGTAATCATCATTAAATCCATGGTTTGGTGTGATTGTCAGGACATAATCCGGCTTTATGTCCCATTTTCCCTTTCCCAAGCTGACTTCGCACGACTTATTGCAGGGAAATGGACGCGTGTGAGCTCCATATCATTTGGCAGGTCTGACGTGTGCGTGTTGCTCTAACGGGAGCAGGTCACCCTTCACGTGACTTTCCCACGTCAGCCCTTTATTTTTCCGGGCATAACACTAACTAATTATAGAATCGTTGTCGCAGAAAGTATCCACAACTAAAATCATGGTTAGACGTCAAAACTTTTTCTTTAGCAACCAACAATTTAGTTACTAATTGCCTCAAAAAATAGTCCCCTAGATTAGACGCCAAATGAATAAGGGTAATTTAGTAAAATTGTATTGCAACTATTGATTTAATGGCAGAATGTAGCTTTTAGTGACTAAAAAATAAATAGTAATTCCCAAAAAAATAGCCGCTAAATACTTAAGGATAATTTGATAAAAGCATTTCACAAATGCCTCTTTTAGTGACTAAAACTTTAATTGTAATTGCCAAAAATTTTAGCTGGTGAATGTTAGACCGAAATATAATAATTTCCTTTCCGCAACCATTCAATTAGTTGCAAAAAAATGTGTTTTAATGATTAAATAATCAGTGACAAAAACAACTCAATTTTAGTTACTAAAAGTGTTTGACCAATTTGCTTTCTTTGATTTCGCAACTAATCATTTGGTTAGGAAAATTGATTTTTCTACATCTAAGTGGTATAATTGCCCATAGTACATGAGATTTAGAAACTAATTTTTGTAATAAGTGTAATAATTGATTAGTCCAAGATTGTTTATTATTTCTGTAACTAAAATTTAGTGACAAATAGGATTACATTTAAGAGCAATATTGCTGCTCCTTGTAATTCACCTGGTGAACACATTGCATAACCCAATTAGGTCGGTCACCTTTTGGAGCTTTACCTCGGTGGAAAGCTAGAGTCTTTATCATCCCCACACCTTAACTATTGTAGTGAACAAGCCTACCCTTTCCTATGGTCTTCCAATACCCAAAGTCAGTAGCACAATTCATTCTAACAAGTCTACAGAAGTTTATTTACATAGCAACAGAAGTTCATTTCAAATAATTGAAAATAGAATTATAAGCATTTAGATTTTGGTTTGCTGCCTAGATCCCACGTTACAGAATTATAAAGACATTCAAGTGGTAGAAAACATCGAAACAAAGCATAATATTTAAAATGAAAGAGCACTTATTAAAGTAGTACTTTCACGCATTTCATCAAGCAACCATCTGCACATGTAAGTCATACAGAGTGACCCATCCAGGTATATACAAAAAAAGGAGTTATTTTTCGTGCAAATAAATGCTTTATCAATGACCGGAAGATGGAGGGATAATTAACAAGCACATGAACCATACAGAAACATACTTATAGTCAAAAGAAGTAAAAAACTTATGAAGGGTATTCACAATCAGCTCTACAGTGGCATGATCTGCAGCCGCAGTATCGGTCATGTGAGTGTATTGAACCTGAATATTGGGGAAGTAATTTTGACATAGAAAGCAATTAAGAAACATTCTAGTCCTATACTTGTGCATAATTTGCATGGAAACTTGGACTCTACTTAGCATACTATATGAATTACGTTAATCTTATAAAACATAAGACATATATATATAGTTATATCAGTTATTCGCTCAGTTCTTCCCTGGTGGGACTCAAACCCGAGTAGTTTTGATACTATTTGATTAAAATTACTTAATAGTCAGGATGCAACCGTATCCATATATAGCATTACAGACTAAATTTAACAATTGTAAAAGGAAATTAAAACTAACCACCTCTGGGTCAGAGGTGGTTTGGTGGAGCAATAGAAACTTTCTAGTGTATTACTCTAAGAGGTTTTGAGTTCACTTCTTCTCGGTTGCTAATAGAGGTGGTCACTTCAGAGTTTACCTGATTATTAATTTTAGAGACTTAAGAAATTAGTCGAAGTGTACACAAGCTGATATATTAGACACTTTCGATCACCCAACAAAAAAAAACTAAAGCACATTTTTTTTTTAACCTTCCAAATGCTTTTTGAACCAAAAACAATATATTGTTTAATTATCGTATGGAAACAAACTTGATGAGAAAAACGTTCCAACAAAAACAAGACCAATTCAAATGAATGTATAAATGCAAAAAAAAAAAAAAAAAAAAAAAAAAAAAAACTCTTAAAAAAACTTACACACACGTACATTTATTATTTATTAAATCAATAAAAGTCCAAAAAAAAATCCAGCACATGATGCGATTATTCTAACACAATTGCTGGGCCGGCCTGGTCCTGGGCCAGATAGAAATTTAGAAAAGAAGACCACTTTCCACGATTCCGACCACTAAAGGTCACGGTAAAGTAAAACAGAAGAATTGAAGGACCGTCATGGTGGGTTAGGAAACGTGTCAAACACCAATTGATTGAACTCCCACATTCAAGGACTCTCTCTCTCTTCGAGAGTTAGAAGACCAACGGTACACGGTACCAAACAATCAAATCCAAAAATAAAACTGATAATAAAAATTGTTAATAATTAAACTAATCACGTATTATCCATTTACAATTTTTTTTTTAATTTTAATTCTGTTAATTAACATTTTTATACACTTGGACATGACAAAGCTTCCTTTACCTTAAACACAACAGCAGCAGCACGTGCAATAGCTGTAAGTTCCCTCCCTTGGACTTTTATACCAGTTTTTTGGATCTCATTTCAATGTTTTTTTAATTCACATTTATCCATTTCCTCAACCAATGCATTTCACCAATTTTATTGTAGAAATCATTTTCTGGGTATGTTTTTCTTTGAAATTCGGTGGTTTAAATGATTTTCAGGTTCATGTGTTAAACGTAATTTTGAGTCTTCTGTTTGCCGACTTTTGTGTTATGCATATTTCTGTTTGGGAATTCTGGTATAATGTGCTCATGATTTGCATTTCAGGTTCTGTTCATGGTTGGTCCCCGAGTTGTATCGAAACCATTATGATAATTTTGTATCTGCATGCAAGGTGTGAAGATTTTTTGTATTCAATGGACCAATTACATTATAATACTATGAGAAATTGTTATGTTATAGGTTTTGAGTATGCATTTCTCTTCTCTATTCGAATTAGATAAAAATGTTTGAATTAAACACATTGAAAAGGAGGCTCTCTGGAAGCATAATTGTGAAGTTAACACAATAGTTGAAACAAAAATTCTAGACAAGGGCTGGTAATTGGCAGGAATAATTTTAACGGGGTAGGAAATAAATTGTTGTGTTACCTATAAATACGGACAAGCTTAATTGTAACATCGAGAACTTTTCTCATTTTGCATTGTTTATTCATTTACTCGGGGTGTTTCTGGACTGAATTCTGGGAATTTTTTAGCCATACGCCAAACTGTTTAATTCTAAACAATAAAAATTGAAATTGAGTAAAGTTAGAGATGGTATACTGACTCGAAAACACTTTCCTAAGAGAAAAGTGGCATGCTTGAACTTTATTTGTAGAAGCAGTGGCTCTAGTAACTAAGTAATTAAACTGTAATGGCTTTATATATCTTCTTGTTACTTTCAGTCTTGAGTTGGCAATTAATTTTAGCAGTATATATAATCGATTATAGTAATTCACATTTATCAGAATTTTGTGATGTCCTCTTTAAGATTTACTCGGTTCTATTCAGTTCATGAGAATTAAGTCATCTTGTGACATGTATACTCATATAGGCAATTTTAGAACTAGTACTTAATATGGAATATTTTATGCAAGGTTTTATAATTGAGTTTCAAGTCTTGATGCCCTCTCTTGTGGATCAAATGAGTTCGGTATCCGCTCTCAGCACAAGAGAAAACAGAGGCACAATGGATCCAGTTTAGCCGATAACGGGGAGGTTTCTGATACAAAAGGAACGTTAGTTGAGGCTGAAGGTAAGGATGATTTTATTGCTGCTTGGTTTGAGCACTCATAACACTGGTTTTTCTTTTTTCCCTTTGTAGCCAACCAACGTGCACTATGGTGGAGTGGTTAAAAGTATTCTCCACATTTAAATTTGCCAATAAAAGCTTCAGATGAAGAGCTGAAAGTGTTTGATTGATGGCACTCTTCTACTCAAATTTGAAGAGGCTTAGACTAGTTTCATATAAGGAGGTTGTTGAAATCTAGTATCTTTCTGTTGCCAAATTATACTAAGTTGGTGATTAGATGGTTACTTTGTTGATTAAATGTTCGGTATTCTATTCTAGGTAGGCGATTTCAATCATTCTTCAGTTTCAAGCTCAGAAATGTTAGAAGATTTCTGGAAACTTGGTAAATTGGAATTTCTGGATTTGCAATGTCAGACCTAGAGAAGGTATTGTTTCTTCATTTGAAAATTTTATATCATTACCTAATAATATCTGACTAAAAATGTTATTTGAAATTTTGAACATACCTGAACCATATGATTGGATAAATTTGACTGGACTGAACAATCAGGTTGAAAACTGCTTGTCCTTGCATCCAATTATTATATGCTTTTCATGTATATTTCTGTATATAATCTTCTACGACTATTTATTTGTTGGGCTTGTGTTGGTTTCTGCACTGTGGAGATTTCAATTTGTTCTTTTTCTCTACTTCCTAAAGTTCAGCTCTAAATCTTGCAGGGTGTATGAAGCCTGTATAGGCTGTCTTTCAAAACTTAGAGCAGAATTTTCCCCTACCAAAGAGAATTTTTCGGTCAATGTACAATAACAAAATCTGGAAACAGTGAAAAGGATGCGTCTCTGGCGGCCCTCTTTCTTTGTCTTGGAGAAGAAGGCAAAAGTTTTGTCAGAGTCCCAATTTCAAGGTGTTCACGCAGTTCAGCAATATCAGGTAATGCAATTCTTTGTGGATGTTTGTGCACATGCATGCCTGTGGTTGGGTCTGCATGTTTGAATCTGGATGTGGTTATTATCTACAATGTGATTGATTTTAAATATGGCTAAAATATGAACTACACTTGTTCGGTTCAGTGGGCTGAGCTAAAAGGTTTCTGGCCATTTAAATAGCTATATATGGGTCACATTTTTTCCTCCTTCTACAGAGCAATCAGCTGCTTTATTACATCATGTTGGACATAAGTTCCATGAAGTTTTTCAATTGAAACAAGGGAGATACTCGGATCTTCCTGCTGCGAAGATTTCAGAGATGATGAAATCAAATACTTTAGACGTGAGTCTTCAGTCTTATTATGTCGACAGACATTCATTCTATGTCATGCTCTTAAATTTCTATTGGTGATTAATGCTTTTTTAATGCATTCCAGCATCTCTTGTTGCAGAATGCTCCAACTCAGTCACTTTTAAGTGTTGTGAACGGAATTCTGGATGAAAGCATTGAAAGAAAGAATGGTGAAATACCTTATGTAAGTTTGATTTAAACTTGAATATTTTTGTTTATAAACATATGGAAGTCCAAGCATACTTGTATACATAGATATGCATTTATGGTTCAAAAATATCCTCTGACATTACCTTTGTTGCTCAGCGTGTGGCGTGTCTGTTGAGAAAAGTTGTTCAGGAGATTGAACGGCGTATATCAACTCAAGCTGAACACATTAGAACTGTAAAATTTGTTCTTGATTTCTTAATTACAGCAGATTTTCCTCAGCTGCTCTGTACCAATTTCTTCATGGTTCTGTGCTGCAGCAAAACAATCTTTTTAAGGCTCGTGAAGAGAAGTACCAATCGAGAATCCAAGTGCTTGAAGCCCTTGCATCTGGCACTGGTGAAGAGACTGAGGTATGGTACATGATTTGAAGCAATAAAAGTAATTTTTTTGGGGGGTATATTTTTGTAGTTTGTTACTACCAGTTATTAATTAATGACTTTACTTCCTGCAGCTTGTTATGAAACAACTTCAGCAAATAAAGGTAAAGTTCAGAAACAAAAGCATATTCTAGTTGTTCATTTAAATCTGACCAGCTTCTATCTAATGCTCTAGCATGCATATCGTTCAGTTCTGTTTTCACTGCTACATGTTTAAATTGTTGAGATCTTTTAATTCCCAGTTGCATTGTGATTGACAAAATTTTCACTGCTGCTTTAATCAAGTCATTATTTATTTCATATAAAACCTTTAAGTTGAAGGCTGGATAGTACGCAAACAAATTAGATATTGATCTATGTTTTGGGTATATATCTCGCATTATATTTATGCTATTTTTTTCTTGCTCAAGTATGAGAAGTCAAAAGCAGAAGAGAAGAAGAAACTTAAAGAGGAGGATGTGGTTGAATTGTTGAAAGAGAAGGATCAAAGTAGCCTTGAAATTTCAGCTCTGAAGCAAAAACTAGAATTTGCCAAAAAGACGTGTGAATTGCGTTGTTCACAAGTGGAAACAGAATCGAAGAGTGCTAAAGCAGATCTTGAGGTCAAATTAAGAGACCTTGAGGGCCTCTTAACGGCTTCAAGGAATAAAGTGATGGAGCTTGAGGAAAATTCTGATTCAAAGAACCAGGGCTGGAGCAGGAAAGAGAACATTTACCAAAGTTTACTGGAATTACAACTTGGTGCGCTGAGGGTATGTTTTGATGTTTCATTTCTACTTCATATATTCTTATCCAATATTATTTAGTTTGCTTAATTTATGAAAATATTCAGGAAATGAAATTTTCTTCACATTCCATCAAGCAAGAAGTTTTAAGAACTCAGAAGAGCTTCTCAGATGAGTTTCATTCCCTAGGTAGGATTATTTGAAAATTTCTGTCAATTTTGAGCAATATGTGATGGTAAGTTTTCACTAGTTGACTTTCACCTTGTTCAGGTGTAAAGCTTAAAGAATTAGGAGATGCAGCTGAAAATTACCATAGTGCTCTTGCTGAGAACCGGCGGTTATTTAATGAAGTTCAGGAGCTAAAAGGTGCGGTGCTTGGTTTTGCTGTATTAGGTTGTATAAAGGTTTCAGTTTTACATCATTTTTTGCTTTCCTTGCAGGAAACATTAGAGTGTACTGTCGGGCAAGGCCATTTTTGCCTAAACAGACCGGTAAACAATCATGTCTAGAATATATTGGCGAAAATGGGGAGATAATCATCTCAAATCCCTCCAAACCAGGAAAAGATGGGCAACGGATGTTTAAGTTTAATAAGGTCTATGGTCCAGTTGCTACTCAAGGTTATTATCCATCTGCCTGTCAATATGTGTATAGGCTATTGCATGGATCCTTATTAATGATTTGCAGTCCATAAAATTAATGTATTTGTTATTAACCTAATTTGATTATTAAATGAAAACATGCAATGTCTAACTTGTACAACACTTATGATATTGGCAGTGGAGGTGTTTTCAGATATCCAACCTTTGGTACGATCTGTACTTGATGGATATAGTGTTTGCATATTTGCTTATGGTCAAACAGGTTCAGGAAAAACCTACACAATGGTGAGAACAGTGTTACTATCTTAACTTCCATTGTGATATGATAATGTTTATTAGGAAACTAATAAAAATTTTCCTCCATTTCAAGAGTGGTCCTAATGGAGCAGGTGAAGAAGATTGGGGAGTTAATCTTCGAGCTCTCCATGACCTTTTCAATATCTCACAAAAAAGAAGCAGCTCCATAAACTATGAGATTGGGGTTCAAATGGTTGAAATATACAATGAACAAGTGCGCGATTTACTATCAAGTGATGGTTCTCAAAAAAAATATCCTTTTTAGTTGGACAGGCATGATTGAACTGATATATTTATAGTTTGGTCTGACATTGTTCTCTAATCAATTTGTGATTTTGTTAGTTCCAGCTTTTAGCTTTGCATTAAATTTATGCATAATGTTATGCCTGCTATTTCAAATTTTTGTTGGCTCTCCATCCTTCCTGTTTCTAGTGTCAATTAGATGAGTGAAGAATGCAGGGATAATGATTTGGAATAAATTTATATTTGTTTCCTTGATTTGCACACGCTTGGGATTATATCTTCATCTTCAGCCAACGGGGTAGCTGTACCTGATGCTAGCATGCACCCTGTTAGATCAACAAAAGATGTGACGGAATTAATTGATATTGGACTAAAGAATAGAGCTGTTGGAGCCACTGCCCTTAATGAAAGAAGCAGCCGTTCTCATAGGTTCTTGAATGATCTTATAAAACCACTTTTCGACATGTTTCTTTTTCAACTTCTTGTGAAACTAATTTAGATTTTCTGTACAGTGTTGTCACCATTCATGTTCGTGGGATTGACTTGAAGAGCAGTTCTCCTTTGCATGGTAATCTTCACTTGGTAGATCTTGCAGGAAGTGAAAGGGTAGATCGCTCTGAGGTGACTGGAGACAGGCTGAGGGAAGCACAATATATAAACAAATCGTTATCGGCCCTTGGAGATGTTATTTTTGCTCTTGCACAAAAGAGCTCTCATGTCCCATACAGAAACAGCAAGCTCACTCAATTGCTTCAAAGCTCTTTAGGTATTCCCTTGTGAGTTATTTTGGTTTGGTCTTAAAATGTTCTAAATTGCTTCTTTTTACTCATGAAATTTCTTGATAAATAGAAATAAACTTTTCAAATTCACCGAAAATATGTTTTTCTGTTTATGCCCTGCAGGAGGCCGAGCAAAAACTCTTATGTTTGTGCAGCTCAATCCTGATGTAAATTCATTTTCTGAGAGTTTGAGTACCTTGAAGTTTGCAGAGAGGGTCTCTGGGGTTGAGCTGGGTACTGCACGGAGCAGCAAAGAGGGCAGGGATGTTCGGGAATTAATGGAGCAGGTTTGTTTTTTCTTTTCTCTTAATGTTGTGATTGAAGTTTCATGAAACAATTGCAGCTATAAATGGTAAGTTTTTGTTTGCCAAAGGAGAATATATCATACTGTCCTGCTTGTTTTTGTGTTACTCCGTTTCTAAATTTTGTGAGCCCTGCAGGTGGCATCTCTTAAAGACACGATTGCCAAAAAGGATGAGGAGATTGAGAGGTTGCAATTACTTAAAGATCTCAAAAATGCATATCCTAATGTCAATAGTGAGAATAGTGGGGCAAATTCATCGAGGCATGGATCTCTCTCTTCAAGCAAAGACTCTGTAAGTGGGACTGGGACTGCTCAGAGAAGCTCAAAACTGCCAACTGGGAAAGGCTTAGGACTTACAGAGAAAGCAGCTTCGGACAACGGTTCACAGCAAAGTGATAGGCTTTCAGAAGTTGATTCCTCGCAGTCTATGGATGACTTAAAACACCAAAATGAATTGCTCATGCAATCAAAAATTACCGGAGGGGTCTTAAGTCAGAATATTAACACAGATGGTGATATTCTAGGATTAGCAGATGCAAATTCTGATCGATTAAGTGATATATCTGATAATGTTCTATCTTCTGGGGAACCTGATGGCTCTACGGAATTTAGTCTTCCTCAGGAAGGGTCAAAACCATTGGACAATTCAGGGACGTAAGTACTACGTTTTTCATTTCTCTATGGGTTTTTGGTGCTTCCCTTGATATTTCTACATGTTTGTGTGTGTGCTTGCATGTCAATGTATGCATTATTAAAAATGTTTGCTTGGGATGTATTTGGGGAGAGCTTGAGCACCATTTTAGGCTTCTGCAGTCCATATATAAAATATGTGCATCATACATATGTTAATGGATGAAAATGAACTCTGATTTTTGTTACTTCCAAATTTTAATTTTTGCAGGCCTAAACCTGTGTCAAAAGTTGGTCGAAGCATTAAAAAACTAGAGCAAACTAAGACAACGTCGTCAATCTCCAGGGATTCTTCGAAGGTGTCAACAAGTATGTGAAAATAGAGCTTAAAATAATCAGACGTATCTCTTCATAACAATAATGCTAATGAAGCTGTTAACATATTCCACTGCTCTTTTCAGGTGCAAAAAAGACTTCAAACAGTGGCTCTACTTTCAAGCCTCCAAAGCCATGGCAGTGAATTAGACTACATTTGTTTATATATGCCTCTTGTAGATAAAATTTTACATCTGTTCACGTATAGTTAGCTGGTTTTGTACACCACCTAGTTTTGCAAGCTAAGAATCCAAGGTTTCTTGAAGACCTTTTTTTTCGCCCTTCCTGTATTTGGTTCCCTTGGTGATCTGTGTGTTGAAAATCGAAACCAAGTGTCAGATTTTGAGGTCGTAATGCTCATGTTTCCTTTTGTTAGCAGATAAAGATCGCAGAGAGTATTTGGGAAGAAAGCACAGTTCGTGTATTGCTTCATTATCAATCTTAAGTTTTATACAATGGTCAAAGACCTTTCAATCAAAATAACAATTCAATTGTTTACTAACTGCAGTAGCTAATTAACCATAGTAACTATCATTATACAGCTGGCTAACTATAGTCAATACTTAGCTCAACTAATCTGACGTCTAACTCAGTAACTGTCAAATTAAACTAATGTGATAGACTTGCAATAGAGTTCTCATTGTTTCTCCAATATCTCCCCTCAAGTTGGTGGGTGATAAATATCTAGAACCCCCAACTTGCTCAAAAGATGATGATGAGTTTTGCTGCCAAGAGCTTTGTGAATATGTCAGTTGGTTGCTCACTGATATGAAGATAAGCAATCTTGATCAAACCATCCTTGAGCTTTTCTCGAACAAGATGATAATCAATGTCAATGTGCTTGGTATGCTCATGAAACATTGGATTGGAAGCAATGTGATTGGCAGATTGATTGGAAGCAATGTCAGGTGACAAGAGCCAAATGACCAAAACCAAGATCTGATAGGAGTTGAACAAGCCAAATAATTTCACAAACAGTGGAAGTCATAGCCCTGTATTCAGCTTCAGAGGATGACTTAGAGATAGTTACCTGTCGTTTAGATTTCCAAGACAAAAGAGATTTGCCAAAAAAAAAAAAATACAATAACCAGTAACAAATTTTCTGGTCATAAGACAGGAAGCCCAACCTGAATCACTAGAAGCCAACAATTGTAGAGTGTTATCAACAGGAAAGAATAGTCCCATTCCTGGCGCGGACTTTACATATTTGACTATCTTCAGGGCAGCATTCATATGTGACTGTTTGGGATTGTGCTTAAACTGACTTAAGAGATTCACAGAGTAACTAATATCAGGTCTGGTCATGCAAAGATACAGAAGCTTCCCAATAAATTTCTAATAAGAAGTAGGATCAGACAATAGAGGATCACCATCAATGAGAAACAATATGTCATAAGACTCAAAAGTAAACTTCAAGTGCTGATCAAGAGGAATGAGAGCAGGTTTGGAAGCAGACAAACCAGTTTCAGAGATCAATTCAAGAGCATATTTCCTCTGACAAATGTTGATACCTTTATTAGATCAGCAACTTCTAGCCCAAGAAATATCTCAATAACCCCAAATCTTTGATCTTGAAATGTGAATGAAGAAGTTCCTTGGTACTATTGATCAATTCCATATGATTCCCTGTTAATACTATATCATCCACATATATAAGTAACATTATAACATGAGAATTATTTCTCTTAATAAAAAGAGAATAATCTGATTTGGATTGCTTGAAACCTCCAGAAATAAGGGTTGTAGTGAGTTTTTTATTCCAAGCTCTTGAAGCTTGTTCTAAGCCATAGAGAGACTTATGCAATTTACAAACCAGATTCTGTCCACCTTGTTTGACAAATCCTTTTGGAACATTCATGTAAATATCTTCATGCAAGTCCCCTTGTAAGAAGGCATTATTGATATCCATGTGATACAGAGGCCAATTATGCATCGAAGCCAATGATAAAATGGTTCTAACAGTCACCATTTTCACCATAGGAGGGAAAACTATTGATTAGGTAAACTGCAGTTTGAACACAATATCCCCAAAATTTGTTTGGAATACAAGACTGAAACTTCAAGGCTCGAGCTACTTCTAAAATATGTCTATGTTTTCTCTTAACAATGTCATGTTGTTGAGGTGAATATGCACATGTAGTTTGATGAATAATTCCTTGACTATGGAACAAATCTTGACAATTTTTGTTAAAAATTTCTAAACCATTGTCTGTTCTAATGCATTTTGGGGTGATTTGAAATTGATTATGAACCATGAGCAGAAATTTTTTAATGCTTTGAAATTCATCTGACTTGAACTGCATAAGAAACAGCCAAGTAATTCTTGAATAGTTATCCACAATTGTAAGAAAAAACCTAGCATTCCCTTGAGTTTGTATCTTATATGATCCCCAAACATCAATATGTAAAAGATCAAAAATGTGATTAGTAGTTGAATTCCTCAAAAGAAATGGAAATCTGGTTTGTTTGGATAAGGGACATACCTAATAATGAGGAGGATGTGAAGTGTGCAACTCTTTAAACATAAGTTTTAGAACTTGAAGAATTGGAGAAACTAAATGTTTCATTTAATCCGTCATAAAGTATACAAGGCATCCTTATTTAAAGGGATCAACTTAATCTGATAACAATCAAATTTGAAATAAGAATATTAGTCACACACCTGACTCCTAGGATAACTCCTATATATAAGATTCTGTTTAAATTTAAAGTTAAAAATATCTACATCACAACACTCCTATAATTACACGTGTTTTCCCACACTCCCCCTCAAGCTGGTTTGTATACATCGTAAAGACCCAACTTGCTCACTAAATCTTCGAATGTCTGTTTCTGCAACCTTTTTGTAAACAAATCAGCTAGCTGTTCTTTTGTAGGGACGTAAGGCATACAGACAACTCCTTTTTTCTAACTTCTCCTTAATGAAATGTCTATCAATTTCAACATGTTTCGTCCTTTCATGTTGAACAGGATTATGACAAATGTTAATTGCTGCCTTGTTGTTGCAGAAAAGCTTTATAGGTCCTTCAACTTTGATATCCATTTCTTCAACTAGCTTTTTAAGCCACAACAGTTCACATATACCTTGAGCTGCAGCCCTAAATTCTGCCTCAGTGCTGCTTCGCGCCACAACAATTTGTTTTTTACTTTGCCAAGTGACCAGATTCCCTGCCACATATATACAGAAATCTGTCGTTGACCTCCTGTCATTGATACATCCAGCCCAATCTGAAGGCGATATCGGGTCTAGTGTGAGATAGATAAATGAGTTTTCTGACTAGTCGTTGATATCTCTCCTTCTTGGTCTGTTTCTTATCTCCACTAACCTTCAGTTTAAAGTTTGGTTCAATAGGAACCTCACCAGGCCTGCAACCTAGCATTCCGACCTCCTTGAATAGATCCAGTGTATACTTCCTTTGCATAATTGCAATACCAAATTTTGATCTTGCTACTTCCATCCCTAAGAAATACTTCAAATATCCAAGATCTTTGATTTCGAATTCCTTCCCAAGATACTCCTTAACCTCTTGAACACCTTTACTGTCATTACTTGTCACTATTATGTCGTCAACATATACGATTAACACAGTGATTCTCCCTGTCGAATACTTCAGAAACAGTGTGTGGTCAGCTTGGCTTTGTTAAAACCCGAAACCTTTGATTGCTTTTGAAAATTTTTCAAACCAGGCCCTTGGTGATTGCTTCAGACCGTATAGTGATCTTTTTAGTCTACATAAGTTGTCCTTTCCGTAGTGTTTCTCAAATCCTAGAGGGAGTGACATATACACCTCTTCTAGTAGCTCTTCGTTGAGAAAAGCATTTTTTACGTCAAGTTGGTGGAGTGGCCAATCTTGATTTGCTTCTATGGACATGATCACTCTGACTGTGTTCATCTTTGCTACAGGTGCAAAGGTCTCCTAGCAGTCGATGTCATAAGTCTATGTGTACCCTTTAGCAACCAGTCGTGCTTTTTAACGGTCAATCGATCCATCAGCCTTGTACTTGAGATTGAAAACCCATTTACAACCAACGGGAACCTTGCCTTCTGCCGATTTAACAATCTCCCAAGTTCCAGTTTTTTCCAATGCCTTCATCTCCTCCATTATAGCCGCACGCCACTCTTGTTTCCTCAAAGCTTCTTCAATATTCTTGGTATTTCTACAAAAGCCAGATTGAGAGCAAAAGACAAATAGGCAGGAGATAATATGTGATATGATATGTATTTAGCAATGGGATGTTGTGTGTAGGTTCTTACTCCTTTTCTAGTTGCTATGGGTGGATTTAGATCATTACCTGTTGCGTTTGATTCCTCAATCTCGGCTGAAGGATAGGGTAGTATTGGTATGGGTGGAAAGGTCTGCATTATCTTGTTAGGATTCTTTTGCCTTGCAAAAACACGAGTTCAAGGCAGTTAGACTCCTCCCCCTTTTTGCGATTTTCTGGCACCGAGATTGAACCAGAAATTTTTGGAGTTTTTGGAGAAATATTTGCCAAGTTCCTAGGATTCTTTGAATTTTCAGTTTGCTGATTTTTTTGAGGCACTGAAAAATCTGAATTTGAGTTTTGGTTTAGAGAGATTGATGGAGAAGTTTGAGTGTCATTCGAATTTTGAACTGGAGAGATATTTGGAGAGATTTGAGGAGAGATATTAGGAACTGATTCTGATTCCCAAAACTTCTCTTCTGATTCTGATTGTGTGCTTATCTGCCCTTGAAGAGGAGTTTTGGAGAAGTAAGGAAGATTTTAAAAAAAGGTGACATCGACTGACACAAAAATTTTTTTAGAGATGGGATCAAAACACTTGTATCCTTTTTGAGTAGGAGAGTACCCCCAAAAAACACACTTACTGGCCTTAGGATCAAGTTTGCTTCAAAATTGACTGTGAATATGGACAAAGGCTTGGCAACCGAATGTTTTTAAGGGTAAAGAGTGTAATAACTTTGTATTTGGATAGAATTTTTTAAATATTTGAATAGGTGTTTGAAAATTGAGAACTTTAGATGGCATACAATTAATTAAGTATCCAACAGTCAAAACAGCTTCCTTCCAAAGATATTTTGGAACTTGATAGGTGAACATTAATGCCCTAGCCACTTCTAAGAGATGCTGATTTTTTCTTTCGGCAATAGCATTTTGTTGAGGACTATCGACACATGAGGATTGATGAATGACTCCTTTTTCAGATAAGAAATTACTGAGTACATTAGAGAAATATTCACGACCATTACCCGTTCGAAAAAGTTGAATAGAAACACCAAATTGGGATTTAATCATGTTGTAAAAATTTTGAAAGCATTGAACCGTTTCAGATTTGTCTTTTAATAGGTATATCCATGTTAAACGAGTATAATCATCAATAAAAGATATAAACCATCTTGTACCCAAAATATTAGAAACACGGGATGGACCCCAGAGATTGCTATGAATAAGATTAAAAGGCAAAGATTTTTCAT